GCCCCTGTGGGCCCAAGTGACCAATGACGCACTGATGATGCCACGCTGGGGTTAATCATTGCCCTTCCCAGGATCACTGGGAGGGGGACACGTGGGACGGCGGACACGTGGGGGCCGGGAGGGGCCGGGCCTGGGTGGCACGTGGGGCTGGGGGGCGGGGCGGTCTGCCCAGAAGCCCCGAGTAGCAGGCCGGGCGGGCGCAGCCTCCAAGACCCAGGGCGGGGGAGGGGGCTGTCGCTGGTTAGAGACCCAGGATTCCCAAAGTTCCTCTCCCGCTGAGGAGGAGCGTAAACAACCTCCCGGGGCTTCAGGGAACAGCCGCGAGGCCTTCCCCAGGGCTGGAAGCTGTCTGACCGCCACCACCAGTACCTGTCCCAGACCTGGTGGCCCGTGCAAGGCTCAGAGAGGCATGGCAGAGCCCTTCCCAAGTCCATCCCGGGCTCCCCTCTCGGGCCTCTTCACACACGCACACACTCACACCCCTGTTTGACACAGACCCTCACCCTTGCCCAGAGCCCCAGTGGTGGCCTCTTCACGCACACACGCACACACCCTGAGCCACAGCCCCAGGGATGGTGGTGCACAGGAGAGGAGGGACAGTGGGCAATACTCACCGTGCGGAAGGAATCCGCGCCCGACGTGGGGCACCGGGGGCCGCTGCTCATGGCCAAATCTTAGCCCTTCTCGCTGTAGCTGCGGCTTTCAGGGAGGCAAGGTGGCGGCATAACCTGGGGGAGGGCACCGATTACCGGGTGAGAGAGGTCCCAGGCCAGCAGGGGCACCCCAACATTGCACAGTTTCCCCCCTACCCCAAACCACCCCCAGCAAGCCCAGGGGAGGGCGGGGGCTTTGCAGAAGTCACGCAGGGGGGTCTCCTGGTTGCACAGGATCCTCCCGGGCTCCCAAGGGCCTTGGCGCCTGATTCTGGGAGAGTGGAGCGGGCAGCAGAGAAAGTTATAGGAAGAAAAGAGAGGAACAAAGAGACCAAAGTGAGGATGGAGGCTCAGCAGGCCCAGAGACTGAGCGTAGTGAGGGAGAGAGAGCAGAGGGTGGGAGACCCCCAGCGGGGGGTGGGGGAAGCAGGAAGGCGTCAGGCCCAGACCTGGAGAGACAGCAGCAGAGATCAGCGTGGGGAGATAGAGGAAGAGGGAGGACAGGCCGAGCCAGAAGTGCAGTGGGAGCAGAGAGGGCTGAGACCGGAGAGGGGTGTACCCGGGGGGTGAGACCCAGAGCCGGGACAGGGCAGGGCGGGGATGAAGGAAGGCAGACAGAAATCTGGAGTGAGCCCAGAGCAGCCTGCAACGGGGGCTGCCGTCCTGTGCCCCTCTCCTCCGGAAAAAAAAAAAAAAAAAAAAAGCCCAGCCCCAAAGTGGGGGAGGAGGAGGCTCCCGGGGGAGGGGCGGTAGCCCAGCTCCACTCTGGCAGTGGGAGGGCAGCACTGGCCGGGCAGCGCTTTATACTGGGGGAGGGGCACGTGATGCCCGGGGAGGAGGGGGACACAGAAACCCTGAGCTTCTGCCCTCGGGGGCAGTCTCAGGGCTTCCCCTCCCCAAGCCCGCGGCCAGGAAAATCTGAGTGGCCGGCTGACGCCCTCCTGACTGTGACTGTAGGGGCGTCTGGGGAGGATGCCGGGTGCGGAAGGAGGCCAGCAGAAGGGCTGCGGTTAGGGAAGCTGGCCAGTGCAAACTGGGGGGACCTGTTTCTATTGGGGGTTGCTCTGTGATGGCAAGAGAACTGACTGCCCCGGTGTGTCGCTGGGGGTGGGGGTGGTGGGTTGGTGGTCAGGGTTACTGGATTTAGGGCCCAACTCAGGGGTGACACAGGTCAGTGTAGGGTCAAACAATATAGGTCTGGGGGTCAGTCCGGGGTGGGGGACCTGGAGCGACCCATGCCCCTAGCGGGGCATTCCAGCTCAGCTGAGTGCTCTCTTCAGCTCCCGCCTTGGCAAGCTCTGCGCCAGAGCAAGTCTGCTGTAGGGGCGCCGGGCGCTGGAGGAGGCGACCTGGTCTGGGAGGCAGTGACCGGCACCTGCCGGTGCCCGGCTCCCACCTCCAGGCTGGGCTCTCGGTGTGCTCCGCCGTCCTCCCCCGCCCTCCTCCCTCTACCTCCTCCCACCCCCACCGCGCCTTCCACAGAACACAAAGCCGCCTCTGTCCAGAGCATCGGTGTCGATAATCCGGGGTGGGGGCACATTCCAGGGACCAGCCCCGACCGGCCCAAGGATTAGCACTCCGGACCCCCACATGGGCATTAATCGCCCCCGCCGCCCCCCGCCCCCGCAGTGGACTGGCACATTCCACCGCTCTCCTGACGCGGGGCTGGCGGGAGTGGGGCGCTCAGGGAAGAGGTGAAAGTGGACCCTGGAGTGCAGGTCAGCACCGCACCCCAACAGCCAGCACAGAGCTCCCCACCCGGGCCAGCCGGCCAGCATACCCCCACCCCCGCCAGGAGTTAGGTCGCACTCTCCCGGGCTCGTCTTTCCCATCCCCACCCAGCTGCTCCCACTCCGGCCTGACCCCTTGTCCCGACCTGACCCGCCACCCCCATTCCTGGCTCCGCCTCCCAAGCCCGAGATTGGGGGGCAGAGGCTGAGGCTCGGAGCAACTCTTAGGCAGGTAACCCTGGATGGGCCTTAAGGCTAGAGTAGGGGGTGGCACGGGAAGGGTGTCGTCTGAAGTACCGCCCGAGGGTCGGGAGGGCCCCCTCCCGGTGGCAGGGGGCGCGGCACCCTCGTTTTAGGGAACTCGAAGAAGCGGACTCTAGACCCCGCTTCCGACCCGCAATCACTCCGCTCGCCTCCCCATCCTTCTCCCCCAAGAGCTCGCCTCCCCGCGCCCCAGTCTCCGCCCTTTCCTGCACTTCCACTCCCTCCCCGCTCCGAGTGCCGAGTTCCCCCCTTTCCTTCCCCCTCCCTTCCTCTCTCCGTGGCCCCGGCCCTCCCCCGCCGCCACCTCCCCGCTTACCCGCTTCCTCTGGACCTGGCGCTCCAGGGGTCTCGGGGTCTCTCTCCCCGCCGGCTCTGGAGCCCTCGCGCGCTCCCGACGGTTCCCCCGGGCCCACCTCGGGGCGCGTCCCCCGCCGCTCCCAACTTCTCCCAACTCAACTTTCCCCCGCGTCGCGGGCAGGCCAGCCCCCTACGTGCGCGCGTCCCGGCGCACCGTGCGCGGCCCCGGCGCGGCGGGCCCGGAGGCGGGGAGTGGGGCCGAGACCCGGGGGGCGGAGGCGCGCGGCCAAGCACTGCGGGCGCCCGGATCCCAGAGCAGAGGAGGCCGCCCCTGGCTTGCCGCCCCGCGCTTCCCCGCAACGAGCTCGGGTGTCTGGAGACGCCGTCTCCTGGCTTTATTTGGCCCCTCTGGGCGGAAAGGAAGCCCGCCTCATCCTAGGGATCCCAGGAAGGAAAAAAAAAAAAAAAAGGCACCAAGCTATCCGGCAATTCGGAGGAAATTGAAATGTCAATGCATCGGGGGTCAAGAGTCTCAGCGCCCGCAGGCAGCCCCAACCTTCCACCCCTAGTTGTCCCCAGTGCCTCCAAGAAAGCCCCTATCTTTGCCAGGAGGATGGGGGTGGGGGCGAAGAGTGGTGATGGCGGCGCAGGGTGGATACCCATTACTCTGTGCTGAGTTAAGTCTTTCCGAACCCGGGGACTTCTGCCTCGGAGAGATTCCCTGCCGTGCCCTCCCTATTCGAACCCTATTCATAGTCATCATCTGTCATTTAAAGATCTATTTCTTGTTTTCTCAAATTATAAATTATTCCAGATAAGCGAATCTATGTTTCGCTTCTGAGAGTCTGCCACCGAGGGAAGGACAGCATTGTGTACGCAGAAAACGTTCAGACATAAACGAGTTAATTAACAAACTGTTTAAGCCCCAACGTCGGTTCCGGCGGCGCCGAGGAGTGCTGTTTGGGGGCAGTTTTCATCCAGTTCACAGCCCTCAAGAATGCAATCATGAGACAATTAGAGAGAAGCCACAAGATAAATCTATAATCAACTCCTTAAGGGATGAGGTCAAGGCCGCTTCAAGTGTAGCTTCTGTCTGTCCTTCTGTCTGTTGAGGGCGGTAACCAACCTGCCAGCCCTCGGGCCACACCCTGGTCGACTCCAGTGGGCCGGGGCTCTGTAGACTGGTGGGGGCGGGGTGGGGTGGGGGCGGGGGTACACCTCCCCAGTGCGCCAGCTTGCCTCGGAATATCAGGGTGGAGCGAACTGCTGGAGTCGGGTGGATTCCAGGACCACAAAAAGGGGAGAGAGAAGAGTCTGGCGTATGGTGAATCCAGCCTCCAATGGGGCACACCTGTCTCTCTTTCCAGCCTTGCGGGCAGCTGGCCCCTGTGAAGTCATCATCGGCAAGATATGGCTCAGAGCCATTCCCCAGGCAATCCTGAGCTCACCGGACGGCCCAGGGAGAGGTTCAAACCGGTTATGGGAGTGTCAGGAGGTCGTTGGAAGCTCAACACCATCAACCCGGGCAGAGCTAGGGCCACCTGGGCTCGGGAGGCAGGCTGCCAAAACCTGGAAAACAGACTCTGGAAAGCGCCCCTCCACCCCACCCAACCCCGCCGCCCCCACCCCTGCTGCATTCTGGAACGTGTAGTCCCGGAGAGGCTCTTTTCCGAAAGAAGGGTGTAATCACTGAAAGGGATACCCGAGCGGGGCACCCTGGGAGCCGCACGCGACTGTGGGGAGCCGGGAAAGCGGACACGCAGTGCTTCCTGGAACTTGAAGTCCAAGGGTGGCCTCCGCGGTGGAACCTGAGTCCCCGGGAGGCAAGAGCTGCAGCGAGTCCGAGCGCAGCCTGCTGGGGGTTGTAGTCTTCTTGTTGCCTACGGCCCCGGGCGCTACTGGGACACCTGGAGTCCTAGGACTACAAGCCCCAGAAGCCTATGCGCAGGCGGGAGGGCGGGGCAGGGCCCGGAGGCTGGGGTACCGCCTCCTCTGCAACGCCGGGCCGGGAGTCTTAGAACCCAGGGCCCGCAAGGGTCCCCGCGCGGCTGCCGCGATGCAGAAATACGAGAAACTGGAGAAGATTGGGGAAGGTAATGGGACCGCGAGATGCTCCTGCAAAATCTTCTGCAGACCCTTCAGCATTCCTTACAGCCCTGGCTCCTCTACCGTCAGCAATACCCACAGATTCCGACCTTAGCACTGGCTGCAGCCCTAGCCCCCCAGCTCAACACTCCATGCAGACAGCAATCCTCCCCCTGCTAGCGTTTCCCATGGACGCCCCCCTGCCCACCTTAGCACTCCCAGTGACCCACCTCCCGACTTCTATGTCCTGCATTTCCTCTCCATCCTCAGCACCACTTGCACAACCTCACCCAGTCCCAGCCTCAGTTCCCGCTGCAGACCTCCAACCTCTGCATTCCGGCTGGCCTTCACTACTTTCCCAGACCCCTGCTCCCAATTTCCAGGCCCTCCAGAAGCTTGGCCTTTGTGATAGACCTCCTCACCTGGCCCCTGCAGCCTCTGCCTGTTGCAGACACCCTTGAGCCATCTGCAGGCACCTCTCTGCCACATCCCCCCCCCCCCCGCCCCAAAAGAGCTCTCTGCCACTGCCCGGCCTTTACCCCGGATCTCTTCCCTTGTTTCTCCAGCATCAGCAGTAACACCCTCCCACGCTGCTTGCTGTCCTGGCAGGGGCTTCCTGGGTTAGGAAAATGTGCCCCATCCTTTCCCTACCCCTCCCCTCCTTCCTCTAGGCACCTATGGAACAGTGTTCAAGGCCAAAAATCGGGAGACTCATGAGATTGTGGCTCTGAAACGGGTGAGGCTGGACGACGATGACGAGGTAGGACTGGGGTGCCAGGGCCGGGGAGGGGCCGGGGGCCTGGGCCGGGTGGGATGTGACTGTGGCCACCTGGCCCCTCCAACGTGTAGGGCGTGCCGAGTTCTGCCCTTCGGGAGATCTGCTTACTCAAGGAGCTGAAGCACAAGAACATCGTCAGGTGTGTGGGTGGGCTGGGTCAGAGGAGGTGGGGGCTTCAGAGATGGGCTGGGCTGATATTGGGCTCTTAGGTTCGGGCTATGGCCCTGCCTGCCCAAGCCCTCACTTTTCCCCAGGCTCCATGACGTCCTACACAGCGACAAGAAGCTGACTTTGGTTTTTGAGTTCTGCGACCAGGTGAAAGGGGAGCTGGAGGGCCAGTAGCCTTGGGAGGATACAGGGACCCCAGCTGAGGTTCATCTCTGTCCCATCCCCCACCCCCGTTCCTTTTTCAGGACCTTAAGAAGTATTTTGACAGCTGCAATGGTGACCTAGATCCTGAAATAGTGAAGGTAAGGAAACTGGTTTCCTGGGAGCTCGTTGAGTCTGGAGTTGGAGTCTGTATTCAGCGAATGTGTTCTCAAGCCCCGCACTGGGACACTCACGGCACAAGGGGAGGAGAAAACCCTGTGTCTGCTTCCAGGAGCCTCCGTCTTAGTGATCATTTTCACGCGATCCCTTTAACCTGAAAGGAACTCTGCTGTCAGTGATAGGATTTACATTTGAGAGATGGGAACATGAGGTTCCGAGAGATTCACTCATCCCACAGATTCTTATTGCATGCTTTGTGCCAGGCACTGTTCTAGGCCCAAGTGCCCTGTCCAAGGTTCCAGGGGGAAACAAATGCTTGACGACTGTGGTGGTTGTTCAGTTGCTCAGTCATGTCAGACTCTCTACGACCCCATCAACTGCAATGCACCAGGCTTCCCCATCCTTAACTATCTCCCGGAGCTTGCTCAAACTCATTCCATTGAGTCGGTGATGCCATCCAACCTCTGTCATCCCCGTCTCCTCCTGACCTCCATCTTTCCCAGCATCAAGGTCTTTTCCAACAAGTTGGCTCTTCACATCAGGTGGCCAGAGTATTGGAACATTTCAGCATCAGTCCTTCCAATGAATATTCAGTGTTGATTTCCTGGGATGGACTGGTTTGAGCTCCTTGCTGTTCAAGGGATTCTCGAGAATGATGAATGATAACATGGCACAACATATACATGGATGGTTATGATGTACATGTTAAATGAGGCCAGGTAGGAGAGAGAGAGCAGTGTGGGATGGGAAGGCAGGAAGCCCCACCAGGCTGCCAGTTCCAGAAAGATGGGGACCAGGGCTCCCCCATTCGGCGTTCATTTTGAGTACCCAGCAGAGTACAAAGAAGGCCCTCCGTAGTGAAGGGTGAGTTGCCCTGAGCTTGGTGCTGACAGACGGCTGGGGTTTCAGGGCCCGTGATCCCCCACAGGGTGCGCGTCCCATCCGGGGGTCTGATAACCCCCTCCCTGCCCCGCCCCCAGTCATTCCTCTTCCAGCTGCTGAAAGGCCTGGGCTTCTGTCACAGCCGCAACGTGCTGCACAGGGACCTGAAGCCTCAGAACCTGCTCATCAACAGGGTACCTCTGGGGAGTGGGCAGGGTGTCTGGGAGGCTGGGGCAGGGTGAGGGGAGCTGGGCAGGAAGGTGGGAGCAGGGGGCCTGCCCTCAGACTGTGCAGAGCCCCTCTCCTTGCCCGTGTTTCCCCACCCCCCAGAACGGGGAGCTGAAACTGGCTGATTTCGGTTTGGCTCGTGCCTTTGGGATCCCCGTTCGCTGTTACTCAGCTGAGGTGAGCTGTGGGGGTGTGGGGAGGATATTGGGAGCGAGGGAGGGGGTCCCCAACGAGCATTGCTCAGCTCCTCCAGGACTCCTATCTGGGCCCCCTTGTTTATCTCTAACTGGGGGGCTCCTGTGGGTGGGGTCTTCTTCTCCAGGTCGTCACGCTGTGGTACCGCCCACCTGATGTCCTTTTTGGGGCCAAGCTGTACTCCACGTCCATCGACATGTGGTCAGCCGGCTGCATCTTCGCAGGTGACGTGTCTGGGTCTGTGGAGCTCCACTGGAGTGGGGGGTCCCTCCAGGGAAGGGAGTGGGGCCCCTGCGGTGGGAGTAAGGGGCGTGGGGGTGAGGGGCTCATATTGCCCCCACCTCTCTCCCAGAGCTGGCTAACGCTGGGCGGCCCCTCTTTCCTGGCAACGATGTAGATGACCAGCTGAAGAGGATCTTCCGATATCCTTCTGTCTCCCTTTACCTCACGCCGGCCTCCAACCCCCAGGAGGGGATCTGGAAGCCCCCCCAGAGCTCAGAGTGCAGGCAGGGAGGGCGGCGAGGGGCGGGGCCAGGACTGGGGGCACCTCCGGGCTTGTCCTGAGGGCAGAGGGTGGTAAGCACCCTGGAGGTCACGGGGCAGGTGCATGCTGCTAGCTTGTGTGGCTGGTAGGCAGGGAGGGCTCGCTCCTTCCCAGCGGAGAGCTGAGTCTTCAGGGCAAGGGAGCCAAAAGGAGCAGGAACGGGATAGAGGGGGAGGCTGGGTCCACGGACCTCAGGGCTTCGGTCAAAGTAGTTAATCATGGCTGTCAAGTACCTGCTCTGCTAAAACAGCATGCAGCTGAGACTGAGCATGAGGGTGGCATGTGTTGGTTTGTGTCATGAGCTGGGGGATGAAGTGAGGAGGGCCGGGAGGTGGGGGGGTGGGTAGGAGGAACCTCTTTTCCCCAGGGAGAGAGCCCCTCACCTGCCCCTTTCCTCCACCTGAGTGGCCCTTGACCCCATGGACACACTCCTGGGGACGCCAACCGAGGAGCAGTGGCCTGCCATGACCAAGCTGCCAGACTATAAGGTGTGACGGGGAGAGAGGGGCAGGGGTCGTGCGTGGTTCATCGGTAGCCCCCCCGCTGAGTGTCTGGCCCTGGCAGCCTCCACGCCCCTGCACCCCGGTCTGACTCTCCCTGCCCCCCCCACAGCCCTACCCAATGTACCCGGCCACAACGTCCCTGGTGAACGTCGTGCCCAAGCTCAATGCCACAGGGCGGGACCTACTGCAGGTGATGAAGGGCAGCGTGGGGAGGTGGCCAGCACACTTGTTGGGGCTGGTGGGGGGGTGGTGTGGATTGGGGTAGCCCGGGGCCTCCTGGCCTGAACCCACCTCGCCGCCTCCTGTTGTCCAGAACCTCCTCAAGTGTAACCCGGTCCAGCGCATCTCGGCGGAGGAGGCCCTGCAGCACCCTTACTTCTCCGACTTCTGCCCCCCCTAGGCTCTAGGGCTGGGGGCCTGGCCTGTTCGATGCCCCCTCTAGGGAGGGAGCGAAAGGCAGGGATGCGCCATGTGCCGAGCTCCAGCTGTGCTGGGCCGGCCAGGGTGGAGGTGCCCTCACCCATGGTCTTCACTCCCTCCGTGGACTTTATTTAATTTCATAAATTGGCTCCTTTCCCACTGTCTGGCTGATGTGGTGGTGACGCGGCTCTGGGGTGGGGTGGGGTGGGGTGGTGCTGTGCTGGGGGGCGTCTGCGTCACTGGGTCGCCCTCTGTCACCCTGCTCCCAGCTCTAGCAACCTGTCCCGCCCTTGCTCTGTTACTGTAAGTGGCCGGAGGCTGGGGTTGGCGGCTGTGACGCTCACCCCGTGTGTCTGTGCTCGGGGGGCGGGGGCAGTGCTGCTCCTGCACGTGTGTGTGCGTGTGCAGCAGTTCGTGTGCTCTCGTTCCCGCCCCCTTCTCCTCTGCCCAAGAGGGGCTGGTCCAAAGGCAAGGATGGGCTTCCACTGGAAATAGGGAGCAACCACCAGAAATGGGGAACAGAGAGCGGGCCTTTCTTTTTGGTTCTTCTGGTCCCTTGTGCCTGCCCCTCCTCTTCTGCCTTCATCCACCACACCTAGGCCTGCAGGCTGGGCCAGGAGAGATCTGCAGCCATGGTTCGGAACCCCCCCAGCCCTGCTCCCTAATTTTGTCATTTTTCGACACTTAGGGTGCAGAGAAGGTGCAGGGAAAGCAGGTCTGGGCATGTGCTTCCTGGGAGGGGTGGGGAGGGCCAGGGCTCCCCCCGCACCCCAACCCCAAGCTGAGGCCTTCAGCTCTTGCCAGGAGGTTGGGGAAGCAAAGAGAGGTTCCCATGGAGACGGGGGGTGGGGTGGGCACGCCGGCACTCAGTCCCTAACGTGAGAAAAAGTCATGACGGCTTCAAACAGGACAACATCCTGGTTCCTGGGAGCGGGCTGCCCCTCAGGCTTCCCGAAACCTGTTCCCTCACTCCTCGGGGTGGGGGGGCTCCAGATAAGAGCCTCCCGCCTGCCCTTCCCTGACAGGACCCCAGGGGTTCGTCCTACCGCTGCCTCGGGTGTGCCTTCATGTCTGTCTCTGAGATGTCGGTTTGACAAAACTCACTCACACAGAGGCGCAGTGACCCCTGCCCTCCCATAGATTTCTGGGGGGTTAACGTTTCAGACACCGCATCTGCTGGGTGACGGTGGGCAGGAGCCTTCTTGGGGCTGAGTAGGGCTGAGGGTGGCCGGGCCAGTCGGCCTATAAGAGGAACGGCAGCGGAGGCTGATGCGCTAGAGCTTTATTTGGGGTGAAGGTGGCAAAGACACAGGCAGGTTGGTCACGTCCAGGGTGTCGGGGTGCGGCCTTGAAGACACAGACCGCCCCTGCCCCCCACGCCCAAGTCTAGAGGCGGGTGACGAGGTAGCAGGTGCGGTGGGAGGCAGAGAAGGTCTTGGCGACGGCAGAGCGGGGAGTGGGAGGTCTGGGGAGACAGACCGGCTGCAGTGACGGGGCCTGCCTGGCCCCTGCCCTCCCTGACCTCAGGAGGCCATTTCTTGTTACCTAGGGCCTGGGCTGAGGTGGGGAACTTGGGTCTGATGGCCGCCTGGTCCTTCCTGAAGCTGGGAGAGGAGGAGAGGGTCAGAGGTGGGGGCGGGGATGGAGGGGGCCTCTCCCACCGCCCCCCGCCAGGGACCAGCCCGGGTCGCTCCCCTCCCCTGTCTCCCAACTGGGTAGGGATGGTGTTCTCCACTTAGGAAGGGGCTGAGCACCCACGGTGGTGATGGCAGGGCTGGGGGTTGGGGGGCTGTTACCAGATTGGCGCTAGAGGGCCTCTGGGGGTGCTTTCGGTTCCAGAAGCGACGGCCCAGGACTCTGTCCCAGAACACCTGGGGAGGAGCAGTGCTGGAGGTGGACTGCACCCCACCCCAGGATGCTGTGGCTTGACTCCTCCCCCTCTCCCCCAGCTGGGGCCCAGGCCCATCCACCTCACAGAGGTAGTCCAGGATCTCCAGGATGGTGAGCAGGCTGGCCCCGATGAACAGTCCCATCTGGCCCCCAATGTCACCTGTGGAGCCGGGGTCACCCTGTCAGCCCACAGTTGTCTGCCCTGCCCGCGCCTCCCCCCAGGCCGCAGGGCACTTGCTGCACGTGGGCGCAGACACACCAAGCAACTCGGACATTTCATAGGCCTTCTTCTGCTCCACCACCTCATAGTTGAGGGCCTCGAAGAAGATGTCCAGCGCCAGCACATTCTCCCTAGAGGAGAAGAGTGTTTGCTGGACACCCCTAGTGCAGGCTGCTGGCAGGAACGGGTGCGCTGTTCTCTGGTCTCTGGGTCCTTTCATGAGCCCGGGTAGGGAGGGGGGGCTGGTGGTGGGGGAGCCCGTTTTTCAGAAGAACCCAGCTTAGGAAGGTTGAGCCGCTTGCCCAGAGCCCCCTGAGCCGGGGAGCGATGGGTAGCCGGGTTTCCCAGCCCTGCGTGCGCACGGAGGTTCCGCCCCGCCCCGCCCCCGGGCCCCTGCTCGGCTCACTCGATGTAGGCCTCGCTGCGGTTGTGTTTCCGGGCCAGGTAGCGGGCGGCGGCGCGGCTGGGCATCCGCACCATGGAGAGCTCCTTGGCGTAGCGCGTGCTGGCGCACGGGTTGGGGCAGCGGCATGCGTCCTTCCGCAGCAGGGCGTCTGCAGGCCACAGGCGCCCGGGTCAGGGCCACCTGCCCCGTGAGGCCGGCGCTGGGTCAGGGTCGCGGTCAGAGCTGGTGCGGGATGGGGATGGGGCTGGGGTGCAGGGGAGGCTCACCCCTTACCCAGCGCCGGATGGGCACAGTCCTTGTACTGCTGGGGGCTGCACACTGGGGCACTGCCTGCACAGCGGGGGGCGAGGGGCAGGAGACAGCTTCAGGAGCGGCCCCCAGGACCCCCGCTTCCCCTACCCCCTCCTCTGTGGCCCCCAGCCCCTTACCCGGCATGTGCATCATTCTGCAGCCGCACTTCCGGGCCACATAGCGGCTCTCGCAGGCCAGACGACACCCCATTAGACTATAGGGAGGGCTGAGGCCAGGGCTGGGGGTACCCAGAGGACCAGGCGCTTCTGGCTCAAAGTCAGGGTCCAGAGAGACAGAGCTGCAGTCACCCCAGGGCGGCGGTAGGAAGCTCAGCTGGAGGCGGGAGGGTTAAGGAGGCTCCCTGGGGAGCAGCGAGTTCCCTGGGGCGGGTGTGAGGAGCTGGGATGCGGCCTGGGGGGGTGGGGTGGGGGCTGGGATGAGGAGGGGTTTGTGGGGCACCAGGGCGGATGCTTGCTGCTTCTGGCAGGACACGAAAGTCTGGTAGCCAGGGGCCACCCCAAAGCCCAGCTGGTCGATGAGTGGTGGCTCCTCCTGGGTATGGATCTGCACTCGGACCCCCACCTCAAATGGGGTCTCCTCTGCAGAAAGAGGGGGACCCTGAGTCCTGAGGCCCAGGTCCCCGGGGGCTCCCTGCTGCAGCCCCCTCTCCCCAGGACTGTGACCAGCTAACTTCGCCCCTTCCCACAGGAAAGGACAGGCCTGGCTCCACGCAGGCCTGCTCCCCGCTTCCCCGTACCCATGTCCCTCCACACGGGCAGGTACTCCTCCTGCTGCACATCCAGCATAACCTCCAGCCCATTGCCCATGCCGCCCTTGGGGGTGCTGAGCAGCTCGGCTCCGTCAGCGCCGGAGTTAAAGGTGTAGCACTGCCCCATCCGCGTGAAGATCTGGGGGGCAAGCAGAGGACAGACGTCTACGGGGGCCAGCCGGCCCTTTCCTGAGGCCAGCGCAAGGACCCTGCCACCTCTCTCCTCCCCAGCCTCTGCCTGGCTCTCTCTTTGAACACTGAAGCTCAACGTGTTCTTAATGCCCCCAGCGTGTGTGCTAAGTCGCTTCAGTCGTGTCCGACTCTGCGGACAGAGGGCAGAGTCCATGGACCCTATGTAGCCTGCCAGGCTCCTCTGTCCATGGGATTCTCTAGGCCAGAATACTAGAGTGGGTTGCATGCCTTCCTCCAGGGGATCTTCCAGACGCAGGGATGAAACCCAGGTCTCCTGCATTGCAGGTGGATTCTTTGCCAGCTGAGCCACCAGGGAAGCCCAAGAATATTGGAGTGGGTAGCCTATCCCTTCTCCAGGGCATCTTCCCGACCCAGGGATTGAACCCTGGTCTCCTGCCCTGCAGGCAGATTCTTTACCTGGTAGCTGAGCCACCAGGGAAGCCTCATGCCTCCAGACCCTCCCTCAACCGGCGCATGGACTTGGACCCTCATAAGCTCCCATCACCCCATGCCTCACCCTGACCGCAGGCCCCGGGCACAGCCCGCAGGACAAGTGTTTCTTTGGAGACTGGCATAAAAGGAAGAGGGTCCCAGCTGCCCTCCTTCAGGTCTGGCAGAAGAGGCAGAGGGAAACCAAGCCCCCTCCCTGCTGGCAGAGAAGTAGGGGGGACCCTGCCCCCGCACACCAAATGCCCCCAACTCCCCAGGAGCAGGCTCTCCCCAGACCAGACCTGGGCCCAGAGCCAGCCTGGGTCAGGGCCCTCAGTGCCCCCACTGTGACCTTGCCCTCTGCGGTCCAGCTGAGGGCCGGGAGGGGCTGAGAAGGACCGTTTCTTGGGCTGTCCAGGATCCCTGGCTTTGGGGGAGGCTGGCCCCAGATGGCTCACCCACCGTGGTGAAGTTCTCGGGCCCGCAAGGCCAGCCTCGGTAGCGGCAGTCCAGCAGCATGTCCTCAAGGGCGTGCCCGGCCCGGGCATAGAGCCGGGCCACGTCGAAGGTGGGGCTGGGCATGAAGCCGGGTGGCGCGGGGGGCCGGCCCAGGGCACGCAGGTAGGCGGCGTGCTCAGCAGGCTCCAGGCCCAGCAGCGCGGGCCCGGCCCAGTGCAGGTCATTGGGTGTGAGGCGTGAGCGCCGCAGCGGGTTGACATTGCACAGGGTGATGGCTGGGAAGGTGAGCCGGCGGCTCTCGCGCTCCTCCAGGGCCGTCTCGTGGTGGAACTCCCTGTAGTAGCGCACCTGCCCCGCCACCTGGTACAGGAAGGTGGCCAGTGCCAGGAGCACGGCAGCAGCCCACAGCCCCCGGCGCGCCGGCGGGGCCCCCGGGCCAAAGACGTGGCCCAGGCCATGCATGGTGCAGCTGCTGGCAAATGCGCGGATGTCCGAGGTGGGCAGCTGGGCCTCCTCTGGGCCCGTGGGGGGCTTCATGGCTGCAGCTCCAGGGGCAGGGGTGCAGGGAGACAGGCGAGAGGGTCAGTCAAGGGTTGGGAAGGGTCATGCAGGGGTGCATCAAGGAGGGGAGAGGCGGGGGAGAGGCACTGGCCTGGGGAGACGTGCTGTCCTGTTCGTCGGAGGGTCTGTCTGGCCCCGGGTGGTGGCCCCACTGGGCACAGTGATGGCCCCGGGGTGCGGGGGGCGCTCCGTGGCAGAGACCAGGTAGGGTGCAGCTGACGTTGTAAGCAGGGAGGCTCTGTTGGAGGCTGCCTGGCTGAGCCGGAGCTGCCGCAAAGGATTGGGTTTCAGCGGTGAGGGGGCAAGGGGGCTGGCAGAGCAGTCTGGGGGTGGGGTGGGGAAGGTCCCTGGGGCCCCAGGCTGAGCCATTAGTGCAGCGTGGTGGGGGGGTAAGAGAGGGGGGTGGCCGTGGAGATTACCAGAGGCGCCAGCAGGAAACCACAGCATTCCTGCATCGGGCTTGAGGAGGGGGAGCCCGGAGATAAATTAGGGCTGGGGGTGCTCTGGGTGGACCCCAGGTTCCCAGCTGCAGCCCCTGAGGGCTGAGCCTGAGGGGCAGCCACTGACCCTTGGCACAGCCCGTGCTCCCCCCGCTCCCCCCAACCTCACCCTGGTTCATCTGCTCTTTCGCAAACAGCAGAGTTGGCTCTCGACCAGGCTGGAAAGCGATGAGGAGCTGGCATCAGCGAGCTCTTCCTTCTGGGCCCCCAGTGTCCCAGCTGACTCTGGGTGCCCAGGGCTCCTCTGGCCCCACGTCCAGAGGCGGTCCATCTCTGGCAGTCCTCTCTCCCACCTCCCCACACGCAGGCCCTCCTGTCTGGGGTGGGGGGCTGGCCTCTGCTGCAGTGACAGTGGGCTCACCTGTCACCCTTCAGGTGGGACATAGGTGCCCATGGGCCACCCTCCCGGGTAGCACGGATGCTCTGTGAACTTCACACCTCTTTTCACTTAATGAGACATCCTGGAGGCCGTGTGGTATCCAGTACACGAAAACCTCCCATGTTTTTTAAATGGCCGCATACCATTTCATTTGTGCGGATGCACCATCGTTCGTATTCATACAGCCCCACCCTGCTGATGGACACTGGGGGTTTCCAGTCTTTCGTGGCAAACAATGGCGCTCTCAGTAACGCTGCACAGATGGAAACTCCCAGAAATATAGCCGCTGGGTCAAGAAGAGGTAACTGCATGGGGAACCTGATTGACACCGTGAAATTCCTCACGGTGGGCGCTCCCATCAGCAACAGGGGCATGTCTGTCTTCCCTGGGTGGGCGGGGGGAGGGGGAGGGCGCTTTTCTAAAGGAGGAACTACGTGGCCCCTGGGCCAGCTGGGGCCACAGGGGCCAGCATAGGGTGGTAACACTGGCTGTCTCAGGGCAGTCGGGGCCCTTGAATGAAGCCTCAGATGTTCCAGAGATGGGTTGGGCGGAGGAGAGCTCCCGGCGGCTAGAAAACAGAGAGCAGAGCTGCAGGCCCACTGGCCTTGTGGGGTTCCGGTGTCTTGCTGACCCGAAGTACGGGAGACAGGAAGGAGGCAGTTGCTGAGGGGGCCTAGCCGGGGAGGGCCGGCCAGGCCGCCAGACCCAGTGTTTGGTTAGTTGCTGGTCCACCCGCGTGTGGCTGCAGGAGGTGCTGCCGGCTTGAGATGTGCTGCGGGTTGACCTCTGCTAGTTTTATCGACTGCATTCATTTCTACTCCGTGTCCTTCAAAAGAGCCTCTGCAGCGAGGCTCCACGAGGTGTGGGCTCTTGGCAGCGAGGGGAAGTGTGCCAACTGAACACGGCCACGCTGTGCCACGAGCCCCTGGCCTCCGGGTGGTCCTCCCAGCGAGACAGTAGCGGCAGGGGCCTCCCCGTCCCCCCTTGTGGGCTCGGCGGCCCACAGCAGGCGCTTAATGAACGCACATCTTGAAGGAGTGAATAACACCGTTTACTGCACAGATGTAACCAGCTTCTGAGGCTGCAGTTGCAAGTACGTTACCAGGGATCATTCTAATTAAACTCTTAAAAACAGGCTCTCAAAATGAAGTACAGCTGGGTTTATGACCCACACGGAATGGCTGCAGGAGCCGAGGTTGGGGTTAAGACTACAAGTGGGCGGCTGACTGCGGGGTCTTCCAGCTTAGGGCCTTCCATGGCCTACTTCCCCAAATCAGGGGAGGCTGGGGGGGGGGTGGCGGGGTATTTGGAGAGGCTGCCCTGCAGAGGTAAGGAAAGACCTGGGATCTGGTGTCGGGAGACGTCTGGAAGCTGCTGGTGGAACAGGAGCTGGACGGGGCTGAGAGGGGCCCGGCCGGCCAGTGTGGACCTAGCTGGGAAGCTGAGACCTGCCCTTGAGTGCCCTCCCCAGGGAGGGGTTTAGTGGCAGAGCAAGCTGGAGCCAGGCCTGGCCTGCCCAGGGAGTTGACCTCTCATCAGCAAGGAAGCAGGACATCCAAGCAGGCTGGCCGAGGCCCGACAGTAGCATCTGCTCCTGGACCACATCCACGGAGGCTGCGGGGGGGACAGCCCTGGCTGCCGCACACACACCGGAGCTGTGCAAGCTGCCCCAGGCTGGCCTCCAGCTGCAGCCACCCCTGGTCACCCTTCTATGCTGTGGGATAAATCCAAAAGGTCTGGCTGGGGCAACCTGCTTTCTCACCCCAGGGCGAGACAGCAGAGCCCCTGGATGGGGCTGTGAAGGGGGAAGGCTTCATGGAGGGAAGTGCCGTGAGCAGAACTCGGGGGGAGGGGTGACCAGTTCTGGGGCGACCAGAGCTGGAGGGAAACCCTGGCTGCTCGAGGTCCCCAGAAGCTGACACCCCGCCCCACTCACAGCTTTGGGGTCGCAGACTTGTGCCACTGGGCAGCTGGCCTGTCTGTCCTCTTTCAAGAGGAGGCTCTGGTCAGACCTGCACTTGGGACCTCTCTGACCATCCCAGGGAGGCTGGTCTGGCTCATCGTCGGGGGACCTCTCTGACCATCCCAGGGAGGCTGGTCTGGCTCATCGTCGGCCTGATTTTGTCTCATCAGCCCAAGGAGCTTGGCGTCAGCTGCTCCTCAGTGGGTTCTGGTGAGCGTTAGCATTGACTGACCCCGTGGTTGGGGGCCGGGGCATGTGTCCCCTGTCACTTTCAGAGGTAGGTGTCCCCACCTAGAGGGCGGGGGTCCACAGTCTCACCAGGTGACAGACACGAGGTGCATGGGGCCGGGGCAGTGGGGAGACGGGCTGGCTCCTGGCAACCTCGTGTGGAACAGGCCACAGCCACCCCCAACCCCCTGCCCCCGGGCCAGGGGGCCCGCCAGGCACCTGTCCCACTCAGACGGCGGTAGTGGGGGGCGATATCTAAAGGACTGTGTTACGGGGCAGGGAGAAGGGAAGCTGTGCCCAGGACGGCGCTGTGGGTTTGAAGGCTTGGCTCAGAGGATGGTCTGCTCCTCCCAGGGTCTGAGAGACGCGTTACGAGTCCCTGGAGGAACTGGAAGTCATGGCTCGGGTGTGGGAGGAATGCTGGGGTGAGTCCCCACTGACCTCCCTCAGCGCTGACTTGTGAGCCCTGGCAGCTGCGGTGTCAGGTAGAGGGGAGGCGCGGCAGGGTGGGGAGATGGGTCAGGAGGGCTGGGCTAAGGGAGGGGGCCCGCGCGGGGCCTGGGAGCCCGCCCCCTCCCCTGTGCGGCCAGCCCAAGGACTCTCAGCTCCAGCAGGAGGCGGGCAGCCTAGCGGCAGGAGGATGGCTGGTCCTAGCCCAGCGCCTGGCCCGGGGTTTTATTCTGAGCAGGGGGAGCCGCCCCACCCAGCACGCTGGCTCTCCTCCTGGGGGCTGGGTCTGCGGGAGCTGCCCCCTGAGCTGAGCCCTGGCCTCGGCCACAGATGCCTAACGGTGACCAGACCTCTCAGGACTTGGAGTGCCGGTGCCCAAGGACTCGGGGTGGCTCCGGAGGCGGGGTGTCCAGGGCCTGTCTCCGGATGAGCTCCGAGTAGAGCCCGCCCTTCTTCAGGAGCTCCTCATGCGTCCCCACCTGCAGAGAGGAAGGCGGGGCAGAGGGTCACCCTCCGCCCGGCCCAGAGCTCACAGCCCTCAGAGGACCAGCTCCTTGGGCTGGCCTTCACCTAAGCCAGAGCCCCTCCTGAGGACAGAGCACTGTCGGTCACAGGTTGCGGCTGGCGCACCTGTACTTGTTAGCCGAGCAAGATTGTGCAAGAGCCTCTGGGTCCCCCTGTCCTCCTTACAGGGCCTGGAGCCCCTCGCCCGGTGCAGGCGGCTGGGGGTCTGTGAGCCAGGCCCCATATAGCCTCCGAGCCCTGCTGCAGACCCAGCCTCAGGGTACAACTCCCGCTGGGCCTCATCAGGGTCCCCTGGGCCCCGTCTTCAGACCCTCAGCCCCAGGGCCCTCCCCCAGCACCGTGCGCTCCTGAGAACTCTCCCCCGTGACCCTGGGGGTCTCACTGCAGCTCTGCTCACTGCTCCCCCACCCCCAGGGGAAGAAACGGGGGCCCGGAGCAGCCAGGGCTTACTGAAGGGCAAGAACTCCTGAATCCACATGGGTGCTATTTCCAGACCATAAGCCCCAGCTCCTGGGGCCAGACCAGACCCTCCCACAGCTCAGCTGAGCCACCCATCTCCCCGTGTCCATCCCAGCCCTCTGGCCCACGCCCCAGGGCCCCGGCCGACCTCGCAGACCCGGCCGTGGGCCATGACGACGATCTGGTGGGCGCCGCGCACAGTGCTAAGCCGGTGGGCGATGACGAGCACGGTGCGCCCGGCGCTGGCGCGGTCCAGGGCCTCCTGCACGACCCTCTCCGACTCCGAGTCCAGCGCGCTGGTCGCCTCGTCCAGGATCAGCACGGCGGGCTGCTTGATGAGCGCTCGGGCGATGGCCAGGCGCTGCTTCTGGCCGCCAGACAGGGTTGCACCTCGCTCACCTGGAAGGCGGGAGGGGAGAGGGCAGGCGTGACGCCTGGCAGCACTCCGATCCCCCACCCCCATGCACGCGGCAGGGCTCAGTGACGCCCGAGGAGGCCGGGCTCCTCCCCACACCAGGGCACGGCTTGGAGCTGCAACGGGCCTGGGCCCACCCGCCCTGGCCCTGAAGCTCTAGCTGCCTTTTGGCCTCCTGGGTCTCTGCTGGACGCAGACGTGGCTCCTGGAGTGGGGGTGGCTGAATGGCGGGAGTTCACCCTACCCCCGGACTTTTTGGAAAGACCACATGTGGGGTTCAAAATGCCCACAGAGAACAGCAGAGGTGGCAGTCTGAGAGCCAAGAAGAGCCTCCAGGTGACGACCGTCACAGAGCGGGGTGCCGGAGGGACAGGGAAAGCGCGGAGAGAGGTGTGGGCCGGCTCCTCCAGGCAGGGCAGGGTCCACGGGAGTCTCAGCAGCCACGGACCTCGAAGGATGGCTGAACAATGCGGCAGGCTAAGCTCAGCAGACTGAGGCCTAACTGCGTCAGTCGCTCAGTCCTGTCCGACTCTGTGACCCCGTGAACTGTAGCCCACCAGGCTCCTCTGTCCATGGGACTCTCCAGACAAGAATACTGGAGTAGGTAGCCATTCCCTTCTCCAGGGGATCTTCCCAACCCAGGGGTCAAACCTGGCCTCCTGCACTGCAGGCGGATTCTTTACCATCTGAGCCACCAGGAAAGCCATGACTGAGGCCTAAGTGTCAAGAAGAGTTGAGAGGGACTTCTCCAGTGGCCCAGAGGTTAAGACTCTGTGCTTCCACTGCAGGGCACACTGGCTGGATCCCTTGTCAGGGAACTACAATCCTGTGTCAAGCGAGGTGTGGCCAAAAAAAGAGTTGAGAACTTTGGATATGCCTGCACCAAGAGAGGACTTCCCAGGTGGTGCAGTGGTAAAGAATCTGCCTGCCAATTCAGGAGATGCAGGAGACCTGGGTTTAATCCCTGGGTGGGGAAGATGCCCTGGAGGAGGAAATGGCAACCCACTCCAGTATTCTTGCCTGGAGAATCCCGTGGACAGAGCCTGGCGGGCTACAGTCCGTGGGGTCACAAAGAGTCGGACATGTCTAGCACCATGAGAAATGCTGCAGCATTCTGCAGCAGAGCCAAGAGACTCTGGATAACGAACATGAGCCCATAGGTTGAAGAAAGGACCTCTGAGAGGAACACACAACGCTGCAAGCGTCAATATGAAGACTCTAGTGTGACACTACAACGTCCCAGTGTTCTAGAACCACCAGAGCACTCTTCTGGGTGAGTCAGAACAGAGAGTTGCTCAACCAAACCCATCCCCACGGATTGGGAACACCTTCATTAAAGGATAAAAGCCAGAGAGAGAGACTAATACCCTGTGCTTCTGGTCAGGTCTCAGGAGCTGACGTGGTGAACTCTGAAGGGTCCCCACGGCACGGATCAGATGTCTCCCCATCATGCTCCTGTCCTTGCAGCCGGCTTGTGCCTGAACCACCTGGGCATGGTCTCCCCTGTCCCCGGAGAGCCGCCTCTGTCCCCCTTAGCCATGGTCCCGGTCTGGTCTCCCCCGACACCATGACCATGTTCCCGCCCCCCAGCCCATGTGGGCCCCCAGGCCCGTGTGGGACGCCGTCCCTGCACTCACCCACAATAGTGTTGTAGCCCTCCGGGAAGCTGGTGATGAACTCGTGAGCGTTGGCTTCCCGGGCGGCTGCATAAACGTCTTCGTCAGAGGCGTCCACCTTCCCGAAACGAATGTTCTCCATAATTGTGGTTCCAAACAGGATGGGCTCCTGGGGGTGGGAGGTGGGGGGAACCATAGGAAACATCCCGACTCTGCCCCGAACCCCTGAGGGGTGCCATCAGGACAGTTCTGGCCACAACAGGACCCCGTGGAGGGCAGGTGGGGGGGTTCAGAGTTACAGGTCAGAGACAGACCCATCAGAGTGGGGAGAGGCCGAGCTTGCTGCAGGAAACAGGGCCCCTCAGGAAGGGGTGAGGGAAGGCAGCTAGGAGAGCAAGACCAGCTGGTTGGGCAGGGCACCCTGCTCTGGGGAGACAGGCAGGGAGAGTTTTATTATTACAATTTGACCTTCTGGATGCCACGGGCTGTCAGGGATCTTGAAAGGGCCTCCCCATGGGATCTCTTAAATTGAGGAACAGAGTCTAAAGGCAGAGCTGCAGTGGCTGGGACCCCAGTGAACGAACACAGGGACCAGTGAAGAATGCCTGCCTGCCCCCACCCTCTCGAGGGCCACAGGACCGAGAAGCAAGCTTCACCTGGCTGATGAAGCCAATGACCTGGCCCCGGAGCCAGGAGGGGTCAAGGGTGCGCAGGTCCTGCCCGTCCAGTGTCACCACACCCGCTGTGGGGTCGTAGAAGCGCTCGAGCAGGGAGGCCACGGTGGTCTTTCCTGGGGTTCAGGGAGGGGAGGGGGGCGTGGGTTTCCGAAGCATGTTCCAGGAGAGCGGGGCCCCTCCTGCCACGCTGAGTGGTTCCCATGGGGCAGAGTCACAGGCTGGGGGGTGGCGGGCCCCTCTTACCTCCCCCGGACTGGCCCACCAGGGCCACGATCTTGCCTGGGGGCAGCGTGAGGCTGAAGTCTCTGAGCACGGGGAAGCCGGGGCGGCAGGGGTAGCTGGCAGGAGGCGAGAGACCCTCAGGTAGCACCAGGTTCTCGGACCCTTGTCACCCTGGTCCCTCCTGAGCTCTCAAGTCTCCCTGAGCCCCGGAGGGGGGCTTATTCAGAAGGAAGCACCGCCCCACGGGTCCCCAGACGGGCCCCCTCCCCCGCCCTCAGCCAGGAGAGGCAGCGGCTGACACTGACCTGAAGGAGACGTTGTGAAAGGTGATAGAGCCGCGCAGGTGCTCCCGGGGCAGGCTGCAGCCCCCACTGAGCGGGATGCCGGGGCTCAGGGTCATGTACTCGAAGACCCGGGCGCCCGCGCTGAGCCCCCGCACCACCTGGGGAAGGGTTCGAGTCTGGGGTGAGGGAGGCCTGGGTCCGAGGGAAGGGGCAGCATCTCCTGGACGCCCCAGGGGGGAAGGGCTCACAGTGTCCCCTTCGCCGGACACCCGGTTTCCGCGGCACGCAAGTCACATGCGTGACTCCAGCCCAGATTTGGCGCCCGCACCCCCAGACCTGACTGCAGCTCACCTGACCGAACAGGATGGAGAGGTTGGCCATGGACCTGCAAGGAGAAGACATGGGCTGAAAGAGGGGAGCAGGGACGGGCTGAGAGAAGGCGGCCCGGAGGCAGAGGGGGCAGGTTTCACGGGGCGGGCTTGCTGAGTGAGGCAGGGAACTGGGTGGCCTGGGGCCAAATGGAGAGGCTTCTCCTGAAACCTGGGGCCCCCAGGGCCCTGGGACCTGGCAACCCTGGGACAAGTCACTCCTCCCTTCAGAGCCGCCTTCTCTCCTGGCCTGGAGGGTGCTGACAGCCAGGGACTCCCTGAGGGCCGGGCTCCAGGGAGGAAACGGCCGGGAAGGCTGGGCAGGGGGCTTGGGTTCCATGGTGCCCGCAGCCTGCAGGGCGCAGGGTGAGGCCCACCCAGGCGGTCGGATCTAGGGCTGTCCATGCCCGGGGAAACAAGGTCTAATGAACTGGAAAAAAAGGATGTTACTCCTTCCACGGGAAGGAGACAGAAGACACTGGACTGCGGGGGGGGGGACCCCAAGAGAAAATTCCCTGAAGGTGTTATCTCATCGCAGCTGCGCCCAGACGGTGGGCGGCCGCCTTTGTCACACGGGGCTGGAGGGGGGTGAGTCACTGCTCCTTAGTCACGGCGCCCGGCTGGCCTGGCCGCCCGTGACTCTGCGTCTGCGACGGTGTGTGTGGGTTTTCTGAAAGCAAGACTGACTCCCCAGGGTCTCACTTGTCCCGGCACCCAGGTGGGGGCAGTGGGGGATGGGGCTCAGAGCGCTTGCTGGAGTGGGCGAGAGGCATGGAGAGGAGCCGGGATGGGGCGTGCTCCACCAGTGTCGGGATAGCATGGCCCACCAGAGGCCTGGAAGCCACTAGGGCTTGGCAGGGGTGCCGCGTGGCTGCCAAAAACCAGTTGCACGTGACCCTGCTCACTGGAATGGTGCGGGAGGCAGGCCTCGCCCTCCCTGGAGGCCCCGCGGGATAAGGTGGTGGCTGGGCCCATTCCCAGGGGGACCCAGACCCGGACGCCTGGCCGTGACCCTGGTCTGTCTGCGTACCTCCCTGTCCCTTCCAGGACCTCAGGGCCACCACTGAGAACCCCTCGGGTGGGGTCCAAAGGTTGAGGCTGCTTGAAGTCAGGGCAGGCCTGCCTCCCTGCCTCCCCCTGCCAGACCCCAGGAGGAAACACCAGCTTCTTTACTGACACCCAGTTCCTCCAAGGTGGGTGGTGAAGGCGCTCCATGTGGGGTGTGTGTGTTAGTCACTCAGTCGTATCCGACCCTGTGACCCCATGGACTACAGCCCACTAGGCTTCTCTGTCCATGGTGAAGTGAAGACGCTCAGTCGTGTCTGACTCTTTGCAACCCCATGGACTGTATCCCACCAGGCTCCTCTGTCCATGGGATTTTCCAGGCAAGAATACTGGAGTGTGTTGCCATTTCCTTCTCCAGAGGAATCTTCCCAACCCAGGGATCAAACCCTGGTCTCCCACATTGCGGGCAGATGCTTTACTGTCTGAGCCCCCAGGCAAGCCCCCTGTCCATGGCAAGGGGCCCCCAAATGGCTGGGCCTAGGGCCTGTGTGTATGCGAGGGGCTTTCCTGAGTCTGTAATGGCACTCTGCTAGCCCACCAGGCCGTGCAGCGGGGAGGGAAGGAGCGGGTCTGTGCCCAGGCCACAGTGGGGAGGGGGCCCAGCGGAAGGCGAGTCCGAGGGAGGAGGGCCGACCCCGTGCAGGGAGCCAGGGGTGTCCATGCAGGTCAGCACCGGGGGAGGGGCAGCCGGGGGCGGCCCGAGATCTGTCTCTGGAACCCTCAGATCTCTGTGTCCCAAGGCCACCGGGGAGGAGGGGGGTGTCCAGCACCAGAGAGGGTGTGAAGGGGCCTGAATAGGCAGCCCTGAGCAGAAGCGGGGGGACCCTGGTCTTTGTGGGACACTGGCCTGGGGCTGAGAAAGGGGGGGCTCTTTCTACCTGCCCTGCCTCGGGGTGAGCGCCACTCGGCCCTGGACAGTAACAAGGCCGATGGTGAAGGACTCTGGAAGTCCACACTCCCAGGGGCGAGTCTTCATGCTTCAGTTACTTGTTATTTCACATTTACTCTGTTTATCTAGCATCTATTTACTTTTCATGTGTTTTGGTATATGTGGTAGATGGGGGGAGGACAAAGCAAGGAGAAACGCAATCAGCAGAAGGAGCTGCCAGGAACTCAGCTCGGAAGGGTCAGGGGAGGGGAGGAGGCTGCCTGCCCTGGGTCCTCTCGTGGCAGAGCCAGTGGATACACAGGGCCAGCAGAGCCGCCGACCCAGTGAGCCAGATGGGTGGGAGGTGCAGGGGAAGGTCAAGCAGAGGGTGGGAGGCCAGCTCTTAGAGACTGCATCAAAGATGGGCTACCATACATTTAATCTTAAAGTGAAGTCGCTCAGTCGTGTCCAACTCTTTGCAATACCATGGACTGTAGCCCGCCAGGCTCCTCCATCCATTGGATTCTCCAGGCATGAATACTGGAGTGGGTTGCCATTCCCTTCTCCAGGGGATCTTCCCCACCCAGGGATCAAACCTGGGTCTCCCACAGTGAAGGCAGACTCTTTACCGTCTGAGCCACCAGGGGAGCCCACATGGAGTCTTACCCAGCCTTAAAAGGGAAGGCAATTCTGACACTTGCCCCGATGTGGATGAACCTGGGAGAAGTCGCACTCAGAGACAGACGCCCTCACCAGGGGACAGACACCATGTGAGCCCACCTAGATGAGGACCTGAGGTGGGCAGATTCACAGACAGAAAGCAGGATGGGACTGCCAGGGGCTGGGGAAGGGGTCATCGAGGTACAGTATTTCAGTTTCGCAAAGTGAAGACGTTCTGAAGATGGATGCTGGTGATGGCCACACAACCTGAGCGTTATGTGATGCTAATAAACTGTACTCAAATACATTAAGACGATAAATTCTGTTACGTGTATTTTATCACAATTAAACAAAAAAGGCTTATCAAGGAAGCTTTTGAATTGTTGGGAAGTTGAAGCTGACAGCTGCGTTTCTGAGGGTACAGTCAGTGAATGAGGTTGCGGGGAGCCTGAGTGGGTGCTGCTGGAAGGCAGGGGGCCCCCTCCCCAGCCCTGCACTTTGCTGGGGGAGCTGGTCACCGTACACACAGCAGACTGGCGCCCCCTGCTCCCTCCCCCAGCTGGGCCCCTCAGGAAGAGAACGGCCCACACTCACCTCTGCACAGTCTGGGAAGCCACCAGGAAGGACATGAGGTCTCCCCCTGTCAGCTGCTGCCCCGCCACAAGGGAGCCCCCAATAAACAGGGTGCCCAAGACCATGCCTGCGAGGGGCCAGGACAGGTGGTCAGGGAGGAGGCTGGGGGACAGGGTCTGGCCCCTGTGCCGGTCCCTGCCCCACTCCCCACTGACTGGCGTTTCAGCAAGTCACCCGAATGGTCTCTGCCTTTCTTCCTTTGGCAACGAGGGGGATGGGGGCACCTCACTGCTTCCTCCCCAGCAGCTCTGCCCGTGGCTCGGATGTGGCCCTGGGCCTGTGTGCCCACTGCCTGCCTGAGTTGGCAGCCTCCTCCCCTAGTTAGCAGACCAGCTGCCTGGCACTCGGGAGACGTCAGCCACCAAGCAGGTGGAGGGCCGCCCTGGCTCTTCCGAGCTCACCCCGAGCCAAACCCGTACTCCCCCCGGGGGTCCCTGCTCACTCACAGTTGAAGGCGATGTTGGAGAGCCCCTGGAACAAGGCGATGCCTCTACCCAGCTCCTCTGCCTTACAGCGGGACCCCTCCAGCTCCGCTCCGTAGCGTCTAGGGACAGAGGCCAAGCCCGGCCCTCAGGAAGCTGGCAAGGTGGGGCGCGGGGCGCATGGAGGGGCCTTTGGGAGCACCCCCCAGCTCTGCGCTCTGCCCCTGCTCAGGACTCACTCCTCCTCCCGCTGCTCCATGGCGAAGGCGCGCACGGTCCGAACATTGCCCAGGGCCTCATCTGCCACACCTGTTGCCCTGGCGACCTGCAAGGGACTCAGGAGTTAGGAAGCCGGGATGCAGATAGGGAGGGTGATTGAGGAGTGCAGAGCGCAGAGAAAGAGAGGAGCACAAGGCGGGTGGGTGGGAATTCCCATACCTGCTCCTGACACTGGCGAGACAGTTTTCTGAGAGCTGAGCCCATCAGGGTGCCAACTCCCATCAGAGCAGGCGTGGCCACCATCAGCAGCAGCGTGAGGCGCGTGGAGAGCATGGACAGGGACACCAGGCAGCCGGCCACCTGCGTGCAGCTCCGCAGCCCCTGGGCAGTGGACAGGAAGCCTGTGGGTGTCAGCACCAGTATCTGGGGACTCGCCAAGCGTCCGTTAGCTAGAGCCAGCTCCCCACTCACTCACAGGGCGAGGCCACAGGTCTGATCCCCAGGAGGCCACCAGTCACAGACTGTAACCCTTTCCTGACCAGCAGAGGTGAGAAACTACGGACCAAGGCCTTCTCCTCCTCCTGACAAGGCCACTGTCCTCTGCTTGAGAAACTGAATCAAAAAAAGGACAGCCTGGCGATACCGCCCAGGGCCTGCTGGGGGGTCAGTGACAACGTGGGGAGCGGGGGATGAAGAAAGGACATCAGGAATTCAGCAGAGCTGTCGCTCGCTCTTCTGTTAGTGGGCCAGGCACTCCGGGGCCAGGCCGTGACGATGCTCTTGGCAAGTAGGGCCGGCAAAGGCTCTTGTCTGAGTTCTCGGGAAGGGTTGGATTTCACCGCAGGAGAGAAACAGCCTGTCCTGACCTTGGACACACCCCGCCCGCTGGCTGGCACCTCCCGCCCACACCCTCACCAGAGGGCAGACTTCTGGCTTTGGTGTAAGCTGGGGGCGAGGGGGCCCAAGAGTGTGAGCAAATGTGTGTGTGACAGTCGGGAAGCACTTTGGCACTGACCTGGGAGATGACGAGTTTGAAGGAGGATTTAAACTCCTGCACGTCCGTCGTCAGTCGGCTCACCAGCTGCCCTGTCTTCTTAGCGTCAAAGAACGCGATGTCTTGGCTGGGGCCGCAAGTGGAGAGGAGGGAGACACGCCCTCAGGGTGAGGCCCCGCCCCCAAGACACGCCCCCAGGCCCCAGGGCCCCGCCCCCTACCGGAGCAGGTTGCAGAAAAGCGCCCTTCGAAGGTCCACGGCCATGCGCTCGCCGATGCGGGACAGTAACACCAGGTACCCGAAGGTCAGCAGGCCCTGCGAGAGAGGCCCGGCTCTCAGGGATGCCTGGGGCTCCTCGGAGGGGCGGGGGCCCCCCAGCCCTCCCTCCTGCGGTACCTGCAGGCCATAGAGGAGGAGCAGGTGGGTGCTGAGGCTCCGGGACTCCGTCAGGAAGCTGCCCGCGTGGTCCCTCGTGTACTTAGCCACAATCTCCACCAGCTGCCCCAGGAGCAGGGGGATCTGCACGTTCACCAGGGCCGCGCCCAGCGCCAGCTTGGGGGTGGGGGCGGCTGGTCAGAGGGGGACCACCTCTCCCCATCCCGATCCTTCCTCTCTCACTGCTGCCCCTACTGTGAGTGTTCCTGTGTCTCTCAGAGAGGAAAACCCAGCCGCCAGACCCTGGGGACGCTTGGGCCCTGTCCCCCAGCCCCATGCAGGTCCTCCAAGGACCCTCAGCTGTGTCCCCAAGCCAGTGGCCTGGGGTCTCCTCTGAGACTCGGCCGGGCAGGAAAGCTGTCCCTGCGCAGCTGGGGGCTTCTGCAAACGGGGGCTGTATCCTTCCCTTCCCTGGTGTTGGGGCGGGGGGCGGGAGAAGACCTCACCACGACGGCTGCCCCCAGGACCAGCAGGTGGGGGCGCAGAAACTGCCAGAAGAGCGTCCAGTTAAAGCGGGGCTCCAGGACACAGGGTCTGGAGTGGGCCGGGGGGCCCTCTTCTGCCTCACACAGTGCCACAAGGCCGAGGTGGGGGCACTTACTCAGAACCAGGGGGCCCAGGAGGACTCCCCCAACCCAGCGCCAGGCAGAGGGGCTCCGGATGGGAGCTGGAGGTGCTCGAGGGAGGCGGGCCCGGAGCTGGGAGCGTAGCCGGGCCACAGCCCCAAGGAGGCAGGCGCTGGGGCGGCCATCGGAGGACCTGCAGGGAGAGAATGCCGGTGACGGCTCACGGGCCTGGCTGGCCCTCAGTCTAGCAGCACGGCGCCCGGCTGTCGGCCTTGGCTCAGCCCTCCGGGGGACAGAGGCTTCTCTTGTGACAGCTCCCCCTACCTGTCTCAGGGAGGCTCTCAAGCAACCTCTATTTCTGAGACGAACACACCCAGTGGAAAGTCATCGAAACTTAAAAGATGTCTGCCCCCGGCTCGTCTCTGGGACGGCCGGCCCTCATCAGCCACTGTCTCCAACCTCCGCTCTTTCAGAAGAATGGTGGGTCATCAGAGCTGGACGGCGCTCCCCTTACCGATGAGCAGCAGAGCTGGGACAAGGTGGGGGCCCTGCTGTCTGACCCTGGAATCCAGGCTCTGGACTGGGTGTGATGAGCTCACAGCTACATGTGGTGAGGCCAGGAGGGACCCCAAGACTCTGCCCACTGGTCGGAAGCTTGTTACACCCCATCACTCTGTCCCCTCCCGGGCCTCGAGTGCTAACGTGACAGACAAGGCATGGAAGAAAAGGGTGACGGGCTCCCTCTCTGTCAGCTGGAGGAAGCAAAAGAAATAAAATCAACGTAACTTGCATCTAGTCATCTCACATAGGCCAAGATCCCCCGTATCCTGCAGTTTTGGTATCTGCAGTTTTGCATTCACATGGCAATGCAGGGTGACCAGCCTACTGTGCACCGTGCTCTGCTCCGAGGTCCAGGGAACAAAAGACCAACAGGACAGGCCAGGTAACCACCCTCGTGGTGGTTAAGCTTTAGTGTGGGTGTATGGATAGACCCTGATGCTGGCAAAGATTGAAGGCAGGGGGAGAAGAGGGCGGCAGAGGATGAGATGGTTAGATAGCATCACCGACTCAATGGACGTGAACTTGAGCAAACTCCAGGAGATGGTGAAGGACAGGGGAGGCTGGCGTGCTGCAGTCCAAAGGATGGCAAAGAGTTGGACAGGACTTAGTGTCCGAACAACAATAATGTATAGGGCAGGGGGGTGGACACAAAAAAAGCTAACGACAAAGCTTGCTGAGGGTGGGTGGTGGGAGCGGGGGACCCATTACCGTCCCTTTAAAACATGTGGACTTGAGAGAGTAAGGAAGACCATAATCATAATTCCATTTTAAAGATCCCTGCAGAGAAGAGTGAGCTGGAGAAGAACAGGAGCAGCTATAGGGAGGCCTGTTAGAAGTATCCGTTACCTGGCCAAGAGTAGATGGGAGGATGATCAAAGATGCAAATGAGATTACTGATGGGGAGAGGCTTGAAAAACAAATGGATGAGACGGTTTTCCTTAACAACAATGGTTTTTCCTATGTCCAGACCCTCCTAACTACACACTCAGTCTCATCCTTCCCCGTTTCAATGAGGCCTGCCTGAGCTTCTTGCCACCTCCATGTGACATCTCCCCCCACCTCATCCACCTGCCTGTTTTCCACTGCATATTTCATATCTATCCAAAATATAAGTGGAAAAAATATATAGACGGAGAAGCTCACTGTCCTGCTCTCTGTAAATGCCCCACTTCATACATTCCTTGATGGCAGGAAGTCAGATCTTACTCGCCACTGTATCCCCAGAGCACTCAGCAGAGCTCTGGCACAAACCAGAGTTCAGCACATGGTCATGTGTGTTGAGTGCATTATGCCCTCATTAGAAATGCAAAACAATCTGACAAATCCAACCCTGAATATTCACTGCAAGGACTGATGCTGAAGCTCCAACACTTTGGCTACCTGATGCCAAGAGCCGACTCACTGGAAAAGACCCTGATGCTGGGAAAGATTGAAGGCAGGAGGAGAAGGGGACAACAGAGGATGAGATGGTTGGACGGCATGATTGACTCAATAGACCTGAGTTTGAGCAAACCCTAGGAGATGGTAAAGAACTGGAAAGCCTGGCATGCTGCAGGCCATGGGGTCACAAAGAGTTGGACATGATTTAATGACTGAACAAGTAACCTGATTCACTGCTGAATGTTTGTAAAGGTTTAGACTTACTATAGACAATAGTACGAAATATATTTTACTTTATGACCCAGCACAGTGAACATATGTATGTTGCAGAAAATTTAAATGCTTCACAAAACAATACTTTCCCTATTTATTTATTTTTTGGCCTCAAGGTTTGCAGGATCTTCGTTTCTCCACTAGGGATCAAACCTGAGCCCTGGCAGTGAAAGGCCCAAGTCCTAACCACTGGATCGCCAGGCAAGTCCCTCCCTAATTTGTTTTTTAAACATGTATACTATTATATTCACTTTCTTTAAGATTTAATTCATATATGGCTGTGCTGGGTCTTTGTTTGTGCATTTGGGCTCTCCTTAGTTGTGGTGAGCAGGGGCTACTCTGTGTTGCCCTGCACGGGCTCCTCATTGTGGTGGCTTCTCTTCCTGGAAGCACAGGCTCTAGGTGTGTGGGCTTCAGTAGCTGCAGCATGTGGGCTTAGAAGTTGTGGCATGCTGGCCAGGTCCTAGAGTGCGGACTCAGCAGTTGTGGCCCACAGGCACAGTTGCTCTGAGCCACATGGAATCCTCCTGGACCAAGGATCGAACCCGTGTCTCCTGCATTGACAGGTGGATTCCCATCCACTGTACCACCAGGGAAGTCCTATATCCCTTCTAAAGGGTCCAGACTCACTAAATTCACTTTCTGATCTATTGTGCTGTGACGTGCAGGTCTGAAAAACTCTGCACTATGAACACACAAATTCTAGCACACTATTTGATGTCTTTCCTGGGGTTGTGCTCTTGTTTAAATAACATCGACACCCTCACTCTTTTCCTAAGGACTGTATTCAAGCCTTTTAATAATTTACCATGGCCACTTTCCAGCTTTTCTCATCTTCTCCAAACTAAGGTCTAAGCAGTGTTTAAAGTGAAAGTGAAGCCGCTCAGTCATGCCTGACTCTTTGCAACCCCTTGGACAGTAGCCTGCACCAAGCTCCTCCATCCATGGGGTTTTCTAGGCAAGAGTACTGGAATGGGTTGCCATTTCCTTCTCCAGGGGATCTTCCCGACCCAGGGATCGAACCTAGGTCTCCTGCATTGTAGACAGATGCTTTACCATCGGAGCCAAGCCTGCATGCAGTGTTTGGTCACTGCAAAAAACTGGCGATTACTTCCCAGCACCAGTACTTCTAAGCTGCAGCTCCGCCCCTCTTGCCCTCCATCAGTCAAATGCGCTCCCTGAAGGACACAAGTCCACATCCACCTGCCCCTGTGATTTGCTGCTTGCCTGGCTCTCGGGTTTTCACTCTAGGATCAGAAAGGAATCAGTTGCATCTTGTAAAGTGTTTACAATGGAGTCACAGTCTCTGCATCCTTTTCGTTCCCCATTTGTGTTTTTCTCTCTTGGGACCAACGTGTGCAGAGTTGAACGAACACCAACATGTACATATGCTTTTATCTTTGCTGGAAGTATACAGATTTAGGAACCATTTTTGTTCAGTTCACACTGAATCTCTGGAACAACAGCCATGCTGAATGTCTCTGGACACTTAATTTTTGTCCGCATCGCCAGACCAATTCCAAGACTGAGGCCAGAAACGGGGCCGGATGAAAGTGAGAGTGAAAAAGTTGGCTTAAAACTCAACATTCAGAAAACAAGATCATGGCATTCAGTCCCATCACATCATGGCAAATAGATGGGGAAACAGTGGAAACAGTGACAGACTTTATTTTGGGGGGCTCCAAAATCACTGTAGAAGGTGACTGCAGCCATGAAATTAAAAGATGCTTACTCCTTGGAAGGAAAGTTATAACCAACCTAGACAACATATTAAAAAGCAGAGACATTACTTTGCCAACAAAGGTCCCTCAAGTCAAGGCGTTGGTTTTTCCAGTAGTCATGTATGGATGTGAGAGCTGGACTATAAAGAAAGTTGAGCGCCGAAGAACTGATGCTTTTGAACTGTGGTGTTGGAGAAGACTCTTGAGAGTCCCTTGAATTGCAAGGAGATTCAACCAGTCCATCCCAAAGGAAATCAGTCCTGAATATTCAGTGGAAGGACTGATGCTGAAGCTGAAACTCCAACACTTTGGCCACCTGATGCGAAAAACTGACTCATCTGAAAAAACCCTGATACTGGGAAGGGTTGAAGGCGGGAGGAGAAAAGGACGACAGAGGACGAGATGGTTGGATGGCATCACAGACTCGATGTACATTAGTCTGAGTAGGTTCCGGGAGTTGATGGACAGGGAGGCCTGGCATGCAGCAGTCCATGGGGTCGCAAAGAGTCAGACACGCCTGAGCGATTGAACTGAACTGAACTGACACCCGTGCAGCACGGCGCCCCCTGGTGGAGAGAGCAGACCTAGTGTGGTCCCCGACCCAGAGCGCCCCCCTGCGTCCAGCCTTCGCGCGGACACAGACGCGCCGAGCCTCCCGTCGGCACCTGGCGGTCGCTATAATTGAGGCCGATCCCCCGGGAACGACAGTCGACCCCCGGGCAGGCCGGCCTACAGCTCCCAGCAGACCTTGCGAGAGCCCGGGACTCCATCTCCCGGCGGGCCCCACGCCCTTCAGGAGGGTCAGTATCCCACGCTCCCAGTTAGGTCTCGTCCCTTTTTACCTGATAGCCGAGAATGTCTGGAAGCGGAGGGGTAGCAACGGCTTGCCTGGGACGGGGCCACCCCTAATTCCGACTCGAAACAAGTGCACCAGCATGATGTGGAGAGAACCGGACCAGCGGCAACGACAGCTTCACCCTGATCCCATTGAGGGCTCCATGTTGGCTCCGGCCCGCATCCCGACAACCCCCGCGCACCGCGGCGCTGATTGGCGGAAAGAAGCATCAATTTCATTGCAAGCTGTGATTGGAGAAAACCTCTTTCGCGCCTCAAAGATGATTGGAGAGAGCCGCCTGTGGCCCGCCCCCTCCCATCCAGTTCTGGGCGGGGCCGAGGCGGAAGCGGCAATGTTTTCCGCCCGCCTCTGGGGTTGGGCTCTGAGGTGACGTCTTGAGGGTGTGCCGAGTGCGCTCCTGCCCCGCCGGGTATCCATAGTAACGCGTCTGCGGCCTATCGCTGGGTCAATCTCTTAGGCGTGCTCTCAGAGCTTTCCAGGTGACCCGAACTCTCAGGGGAGTGTAGAACGCTGGTTCTGGGAGACCAAGGGACAAAAATCGTTTGGAGTTTTTTTTTTTTTTCCCAAAATATGTGCACTTGCCTTTCCACCCACCCCGCTCCCCTAGGCGAGTCAGAGCTTCAGGGACAACGTGCGTGCTTGCTTAGTCGCTTCAGGCGTGTCTGACTCTTTGAGACTCTACGGACTGCAGCCCGCCAGGCTACTCTGTCCATGGGATTCTCCAGGCAAGAATACTGGAGTGGGTCGCCGTGCCCTCCTCCGGGGAATCTTTCCGATCCAGGGATCGGACCTGAGTCTGTCTCCTGCATTGGCAGGCAGATTCTTTACCACTAGCTCGCCACCCGCTGTGGCCGCCACATATATTTGGGGGAAAACTCCCCTGGTGATTCTGATAAGCTCGCGCTACACAATGGTTTAGAACCACTGGCGCGACCCCAGATCCATCTCCCCGATAGATGCCTTCCTACCGCAGTCAGGCTGACTTGCCTGTAGCTGCCACCGCACAGCTCTTACACCTGCAATTTCTCTCTTATTTATTTCTTACGTGTAACTATTTGCTTAGCCACCTCCCTACCAGGCTGTGACTTCCTCTTGGGTAGTGGCTCTGTCTTGCTCATTGGTCCCCTCCTTCCTCTCTCCATGCCTGGCAAGGAAGAGTGCCCTTTATAATAACTTGAATTGGGCTGGTGGTAGGGAGGCTGTCCATTGATGAATCTGGAGTGAAACTGGGGAGGAAAATGTGCCAGGATTAGTTTGTAGTGCGGCTGGGTGCAGAGGGTGTATGAGAGGATCCTAAAATGCGTATGGTGGAAAACTGGGGTGAGTGAGGTGGGGAGAGACCAGAGGAAACCCCACAGAACCCATTTGGGAAGACAGAGAGATCATGGGGATTTCCTAGCCCCTCTGCAGTGTGAGATTCCATTTGGGGAATGTTTTCATAGCTCTGCCTCCTGCTCTGGGATAAAACTCTGCAAGTTGTGAGCTATTATGACACTTCCCCTCCCAGGGAAGAAGCACAGGTTCCTCCTCCAAGTTCCTCTAGAAGGCAATCTGGAATGCACTCTGTTTCTCTCTCTCTCCATTTCCTGGACTGGTCCCTACGTCAACCCTTGGGCCTGAGCCCTGGGGGCCCTAACACCTGGGTGGTTGAGTCAGCACGCGGGAATGGGCTTCAGTAGGAAACCTAATGACTCAGGACCTCAAGAATGGCGTTGGATAAGCCACCAAACCAGCTGCCTGGGCCTCCGCCTCCTCCTGAGGTGGCGGCAAGGAGCTCAGCGCAGTCACGGGGCACCCAAACTACCTGCCCTTGCAAATTCCAGACCTTCAGCTGCCCTCTGCTGGGTCAGCCCTGACGCTTCTCAGCGGGGCCCCCAAAACTGGATCAGAACTTGGTGGAGAGGGTTTCAAGAGGATGAATCAATAAACACAATGGAGCTTCAAGGAACCCCGCTTTCCTACTGTAAAAGCTCCAAGAACCATCTCATATCCAAAATAATCCCCTCTCCTCTCTTCAGTTCTTTCCTGTCCTCAGTTTCCCCCGACCTGAAGGCCAAGTCAGTCTCCCCTTTTCCCTTCTTTAGTACCATCATAACAACAAAACATGCACACGTTTTTTTTTTGTTTTGGGTACCAAAGTGTTTCTCTCTTGACCACTCTGTGTGTGTGTATGTAGGGAGAAGAGAGAAGTTTTGTTTTGCTTTGAGATTAGGTTTTAAGACACCAAAGATGTACAATATTGTCCTGGCCCCATAGCTCTAGCATCTTTAATAGGATTCTTTTTGCTTTTGCTTTGGCTGCTGCTCTCTGGCCTCGCCTTTAAATCCCCTGAGGTCTGAAGGTGGGACTGTGGGGATCTCCTTCCGTCCCCTGTAGCTCCTGCCCTGCCAGGTGTGGCGGTGGAGCCCTAAGAGGTTTGGCCGCAGGTTGCCCTGGAATGGGTGTGAGTGGTTGGACTGGTGACTGCGAGTTGGGACGCCTGAGGCCTGCCCCCACTGAGTCACGGAGCTGTTGTCAACCCGTCCTAGTTGTCAAAATCCCTGCTCAGCAACACAGCCCTCTGCGGAAACGGCAGCAGCTCCCATCCTTCTGAGCTTTCAGGAGAAGCCGCTGACCTGATGGTGAGGCGAATGGGCTGGGGGGGGACCAGGGGGCAGTTGGGGCGGTGGGGAGACCTGGGGCCTGGATCCATGCCCCTGCTCCCCACGCCACTGCCTCCTCTTCCTCCTCCTCCCTGTCGGGGACCTGGGGCGGGGAGGGTCTCCTTCTCTCTGTCCCCTGTCCCTCCCACAAGAAGGGCCCCTTCCTCAGCTCCTCCTTCAGCCTTGGGGCTCCCCTGCCCGGCGGTGCAGGCCCCAGGGGCTTCTCAGCCTTGCCATAGTGCCCCCCCCACCCCCACCACCCCCCCAGCGCAGCCCCAGCCCTCCATGACACCCGTCTCTGCTCCTCCTCTCTGGGGTTCCCGCTCTGCCCCTCCCCCGGCCTCGGGGACTCCCCCTCCCCCACGCCGATGCCCCCAGGACTCTCCTGGGCTGCGGATAGGCCCTCTGATCCCCGAGCAGGATTATGAGAGGCTGGAGGACGGTGACCCCGACGGGTCCCAAGATTCACCCCTCCATGGGGAGGAGCAGCAGCCCCTGCTTCACGTGCCGGAAGGGCTCCGAGGTGAGCGGGTGGGTGTGGGGCTCTAGGGTTGCTCCCCTCTAACCCCTCCCCCCAGGCTGGCAGCAGCTTGAGGGCATGGAGTCAGGTGAGCACCACACCCCAACGCTCTCCCTTCTGTGCCCAGGCTCCTGGCACCACATCCAGAACCTGGACAGCTTCTTTACCAAGATATCCTTTCTGTGCGCAGCCTGGCAGAAGGGGCACGGCAGGCCAAGGGGATGGGTGCCCTGGGCCGGGGACTTGGTGGGGGATCGGGAGGCATCCTCAGGAAAAGCCCATCATGCTTCAGGCTGACTTCTTGACTTGCGGCCACATCTACAGCTACCACCAGAGGAATGGCTTTACCTGTATCTTGCTGGAGGATGTCTTCCAGCTGGGGTAAGATGTGCCCAGGGGCCCAGCAGGAGGGGCTGACCAACCCGGCAGGCCTGGGGCTGGGGCAGGAGCCCACTCGGCCCTCAGGCTTAAGCACCGCTCTTCCTCTCGTCCCAGACAATTCATTTTCATCATCACCTTCACAACCTTCCTCCTGCGTTGCGTGGATTACAGTGTTCTCTTTGCCAACCAACCAAGTAACCAAACATGGCCTGGGCCACTCCACAGCAAAGTGACCTTGTCGGACGCCGTCCTACCCTCCTCACAGTGCGCCCAGCGGTGAGTGAAAGCTGGCGGGGGCAGGGGCAGGGGCTGGGGGAGACCAACGCAAAAGTCTCCCCTCCTTTTGTTCCTTGGTCTAGATCAGCCATTCTCTGAGGTTTTGGTTTGAGGACACCTTTAATCCACTTAATATTGGTGGAGAATACACCTTTAATACACTTAATATTTGTTTGTTGAGAACCAACTCCTAGGGGCTTTTGTTTTGAGCATCCTATCTGCATTTACCTTGTTAGACATCAAAGCTGAGAATGGCTTTAAAATCTACGAATGTAGGAACATACATCCCATCTGTGAACATGATGTCACACAGAGTCTGGAAAAGTCCACTGGATACTCTTGGGAGAATGAGAACAAAAATGGCAGAAAACCTGAATATTAGCTGAGAAGTTTTGACCTTGCAGACACAAGGGTTGGGGGAACTCTAGGACCCACACTGAGAATCACTGGTCTGGCAGGGCCCCCTCTCCATGACCTCCATCGCTCCCCAAGACTGACCTCCCTTACTATGTGGCCCCTACTTTGTCCCTGCTGTCTGTTTCGCCTCACACAGGATCTGCTCCAGCCCCCTCTTGGTCTTCCTGCTAATCCTGGCTGCTGCCTTCTGGCTGTTCCAGCTGCTTCGCTCGGTCTGCAACCTCTTCAGCTACTGGGACATCCAGGTGTTTTACAGGGAGGCCCTGCACATCCCCCCGGTGAGTTGGATGAGTGTGTCTGTGTTGGGGTGCCATGTCGGGGGGCTGGGGGGTGGAGGATGGGGAGGAGCGGCGGCCTATGCAGACAGGAGGAGCCACTGGAAAGACAGCAGAAGACCTTTGTGACACACCTACCTAGGCTTAGCCCCAAATAATGCTAGGAAGTGGGGTACCACCCCTGAGAACCTGAGGTCCTTACTGTTGTGGGGCTTAGTTGATGCAGATGGTTATGGAAGATATACACAGCCACGTGCTTGTGGCCCAGACGCTGGGGATTTAGAGGGGCAGTCCTCTGGTTTTACGAAGCAGGAGGAACTGCGACCAGGCCGGGAAGGATAGGCAGTGAGGAAGCGTTCCAGGCCCCATGATGGAAAGGGGTGGGGAGGAGCAGTGACCATCTCGGGCAGCGATGAGGAGACTGACCTACCAGCTTGCCACTGAGTGTTCAGGCCCCTGTTGGGGGAGCCCACCCCACTTTCTGGCTTCACTTTGCAGGAAGCTGCTTCGTGGGCCCCTTCACTGTCCCTGGCCACACTTCGCTCTCTCCTCCTCTTGGTCTCGCCCAGT